CCTTTCAGTACACATTACAATGTCATCTACAAACATCATGATCCATGAAGCCTCCTGCCTGACTTAATCTGTCAATCCTTTTAGATCCAAAAAACATTTCACTCCTTGTTTATCATGTTTAAGCACCTCAAGCTAAAACACAGTTACCTACTGCAAATAAGGCTTGCTTTTCAGAAACTCTTACCTTTGAGCTCAGGTTAAACAACTCTTCACAATTTTGAGTAATGGGTGCTCAACCTCATAGCTCAGCAAAACGTCCTTGTTTTTGAAATCCTTTCCGATTTATCAGACATCACTTATGTTCCCAGATAAAGAAAGCGCTCCCTACTATCCTCGACAAGTTTATTCATAAACGGGTATGTTCATTTCCTGAATCATTCTCTTCAGAGCTGCCCCCGCATTCTTTGCACCTGCTGATTTAAATTACCCCCCACCCCTTTTTTGTCTTCCACTTTTCTTGTTCATCATTTATATCAGTGTCTCATGTGAAATGACTTTTCAGCATGTTTATAAAAAAAAACACTATTGAGCACCAAGCTGAGCACGCCGACTAAGCATAACACTCATTCTCTTTTATTTTCCTGTCAGCAATGACAGTTAAAGGCTGCTTTACCCTGTATATTTTTCATCCAAACTTTTATTGTCACTGACTGCAGAATATGCACAAGCATATTCCTGCCGTACCATGCTCTTAAAAGTTTGGCACTAGCAGGAGTTTTGTAACTATGTATCACAAATATAAAAAGAAATTGAGGATATTAGAAGAAATTAAATGAATACAAAGATCAAAATCTCTTGGTAAGAAAAACTTAAACCTGAATCCATGATTTTAAACATTTCATGTTGTCATATGACAGTTATTACAGTATTATCAGTATACAGTGTAATATCCTGCATTATGACAATTCTGTAGGCCATACATGACCTCTTCAACTCTTAACTAACTACAGATGCGACTTAGTATATTAAAATATATAACTTCACATGTTTGATATTTTCACAATGACAGCCGCTAGAGGGCACTCTAGCTGGCTGGTGCGACTTATACTCCGAAACAACTTATAGTCTAGAAAATATGGTACATTGTTCGGGAAGTCTGTATCAAAAAACTAGCTCAGTTTCAAAAAGACTGGAAGCTGGACAGCGAGGAACTTCCTGCTTAGGTCAGTTCTTCCTTCCAAACTCAGTGGGCCTTAGTCAAGGTCTCCACTCACTAGGGTCATTACGGGCCCAGATAGATAATCACCGGGGGTGATGGAATTTTTTTTTTCCCTCAAACAAAGGCAGACAGCTGTTCTATTGACAAACCACAAAAGCCAATATTTGATCTCGTCATCTTGGAAAGTTTGTACCCTGTATGCTTGGTGTACATATTTCCACAGCACCATCAAAGGAGCAGCCCCTCCCTTCCCAAGGCAGGGGAGGATCGACCAACTAAAGGGATTATGATGGTACCGTATACCATAGAAAAGGTCATTGGGTAGGGAAACAGATGACCAGTGTGTTTTTGCTGAAATGGGTAAACCTGAGGTTTAGCTCCTGAGGTTTTTTTTTTTTTTTTTTTCCTGGCAATGAGATGCATAACACCTGGCAGTCAGCTGTCGAGGAGAGCTGCGTAGGAACGATAGCCGAGGGATCCAAATCAAACCAAAATAAACTGCAGGTTTGGCAGCACTTATCTCAAATAAACGCACGACGAGAGATGAATTTAAGGAGTCAGAAAGGTTAGCCTCTCTGATGGTGTGTGTTTCATAGTGTTCCTCAGGTGGAGTGTTTATTTTTTTCAAAGGGCTACAGTCAAGTCGTAGGACACGATGCTACATACAAAAATAGTGTCTTGAACAGCCATGCAGCCCAGCGAGTGCACCTTATGACCAGCACTCAGCCTTTGTACGAATCTCGTCAAAAGCATGTGATTTTGTAGATCCTTTAAAGTTTGTCTGCCAATTTACCACTGTAAAACTCTTTTAAAGATAAGGACTGACCTCATCAAGGCTTGTCCTCCCACACTTGACCCATCCGAAGCCAGTAAAACCCTCTGTGGCTGAGCAGTGTTTAGCTGTGTTCCAGCACATCATTATCACTCTTCAGCTGATTCACTGTGGCTAAGAGCAGAGAAAATAGCTTTGTAAAAAAAGTCCTGCTGGTGGCTGCATGTCTGCAAGTTGCCACGGTCTGCTGCCATTTCTGACCCTAAATTAGGACACAGCTAATGACTGCCTGTTTTAACAAAGGCACCTTAGTCTCCATCATGCCACTGCTCTGGGCTGTGTGGAAATGTGGTCGATATGCTGCTGTTGACACCCAGCCTAAGCTCCAGCACAGAAAATGGAAAAATCTTTCAATTTTTTTTATTTTTTATTTTTAACCAATCAGAATTTGATAATAATAGCCTGTGGTTATGAAATCAAAGTAGCTGAACCCAAACTAAACCTGAACCTTGGGGCTGGCCCATCACTAACGACCATTTCCTCACCCTCATATCTTTTAGTCTGTCGCTTAATCACCACTGCTGTAGGTGACACTGTAATTTGGCACTTTTTTTGTGTGTGTACTGGATGCCTTTCCTGATACCACCCAATTTGGGACTGGGTGGAATCAGCCTTCTACATACTGGGCAGGAATCACTACCACAATGCCACTCATTAAACTAAATAACACTTATTAAGTAATTCTTACCCGTTCGGAAGAAGTCCTTGTGAGTGAAAGGGAAAGCTGCAGGAGAAATGGCTACCGATGTGTTTGTTGTGACTTATCCCAGTCAGTCACATTAAAACACAAAGGATGAATGACTGTGTTTATCTTCATATTCAGCTTAAATACTTTGTAGTTGAATTTACTCATGGCTTATTATTGTTATGCACTGGTTCGTTCACCAGGTGTTTTTTCTGCACGACACCATAGCTTTGATAAGCAGCTGTTTTCAGGAATGAAATACATCATTTAAACAATTAGCCTAACTTGACTATCATGTTCTATATTTGCACTGAACTCTGACGTATGACAGAAGTCTGTGTTAATGTCTTACTTCACTGAGAGCAAACTGGGATCAGGCAAATGTGCTGCGACGTGTGCGTCATAAGTGATGTGTTTTTCTCACTTCATCATCTCCGTGTAACTAAGGCGTGCTGCACTCAAGGCAGGTGAGTGGGACACTTGCTCTGCTCCTGCCACACTGCATACTGTTGCTTGGCAACGGTAACAAAACATCTAGAAGCAAATGTTTTTTTTTGTTTTGTTCTTTTTGTCATTATCAGTTAAGTCCAGAGGAAGGCACAGGTTAAGTAGCTGAATATGTAAAGTGTATATGACTCTGCTGCATTTTCTTTTTTTTTTACATTTTGATATTGCAAGTTTAGGAAAAATCCTAATGTTTATTACTGTGGAATCACCAAAAAATGTAAGTTGCTGTGTAATTTTCACACCAAACTAAGAGGTGTTAATAAAACCAGGATATACTGAAGTTTATGCCATTATTGCCACAAAAATGGCAAATTATGATTCATATGAACTTCTGACTAAACAAAAGCAACATTTCTAATAACAGTTTAATCTAAATGATGCTTTAGTAACATTACTATAACAGTTAATGTCAATAGAAAAAAAAACATCTTTTTTTCTGCAGATAATGTCACACACAGCAAATGTATTGAACACAAGACAAACCATTTTCTCATTACCAAACGTGGGTAAAATACTTGAAACTGAACTTGAAAAAAAAAAGTGGAAAGGGAATATTAAAAAGATTTTTCTGTGTGTATTCCACAACTGGGACTAATTCAGAAGCAGAAGTGCCTGCAGGGCCTGTCTGTCTCTCATAAAATTGGTTTACCAATGCAAGAATGAACGAGTGCACAGAGTGGAGTCAGACGCTGCCTCCCTGGAAATCAGCAGCCGAGGTCTTCCGCAGCTGCATGCCCGCCTTTACTGCGCTGTGAGATATGCTCTCAATCACAGTCTTGGGCGACATAGAAAGTTCTCCGATGCCTTCAGGCAGTCTCAGAAAATTAGCTCTCTGTTGTTAACAACAGTTGGATTTCAGTTGCCGTTGATAAAATGGGGTCATGTTCCTTCATCAGGGCGTTTCTGAGCAACTGTCACACAGACGGATACAGACTGTCATGCTGGTAAATTACACAGCCAGACCACAATGGTGGGTAATAATAAGTGTAGCAGAGTGGGCCCTCAACATTTAATGTAAATGTAATCAAAAGCTCAGCCTCCCTTCACCACCTTGTTCGCTTTTAACACCAAGGCTACGATGATCTAACTGCACACTTTTCTAACACTTTACTTCACTGAAATAAAGCTGTGGCTAATGTTTAATTTCTTCAGTGAGTGTGAAACTCCCAGAATGCAATTTTGATGCCCCAACAACTTGACTTTTTTTTTTTTAATCGGACTCACAAAATTGATACCATTAATTCAAAGAGGTACGATCTGACTGAAGTAGAATGTGACAGTTTCTGTCAAAGTATTGTGCACCGCTCTGACTCTTTTACACAGAAATACTTGGTGTCATCTCGATCAAATTAGAATTCCTGTTCTTTTTCAAACGGCACTGATGCTTCTGATTTAATCGGCAGTTGATTCAAAGTTACAGTCATACATTTAAATGAACCTTTCAAGGGTGAAAAAAAAAAAACGAACACAAATAGACAGTGTGATAAATAGCTTGACGAGGCTCCGTCTCTTGTATAGGGACCTGCGTTTTTACTCCTTGACACTCACTCTCTGAGTAAACTCACACCACTGCAACCACCCACACACAGACACACACACGTACACACACCACGGCAAAGCCATTCACTCATCTCCCACACTCATGTCAAGGTTGATCTGAGTCAGAAGTCCCACGTTCATCCCAATTAGCACTTGTAGATAGGTGGTGAAACTGGCAGCTTTGGGAGGATGCACCCATCTCTCTCTTTCATTCCATGTTGGCCATGTTTTTTTTTTTGTTTTGTTTTTTTCCTGTACCTTTATTTTTGTTTACATACCTCCTTTTCTACACATTTTCTTGTTGGGTTTCCTGGCACATTCCTTGGATATTCTTTTGACTGTAAAATGAATGGGAAGAAAACTACAAAATAACAGAGAGCTGTGTAAAAGAGAGCACGTGACATGCAAACAGTTCAGACTGACTCAGACCCCGTTCCTTACACTAGGTCCCTCCGCCTCCGTCGCCGCCTCCTACATCTCCTCCTCCTCCTCCCACCCTCCCAGTCATCAACAACAAAAACAACAGAGGACCTGTACGTAACTGGGGTGTTGCTGCAGAAATATTCCAAAATGCTGGAATGAATTTGCTGCATTCTGGGACACAGGAAGCCCATATTCACATGCACTTCTATTTAAGACCCATTACAGCCACACAGACGCGCCACACTGGTGCAATTGTACTGTTGTTCTGAGTTGCTATGCAAGGTTTTTTTCCTGTGTGGTTCTCAGTCAAATTGTACAAAAAAGAAAAATGCCAATAAGCGATGTTTAAAAAATTATCTGACAAAACAAATTGATATGATCTTGTCTTTATGGCTTTAATACTGGAGAGTAAAGGGTCTTACATAGGTCAGGCTGATGCCACAGGCCTCTCGTGTACCAGATAGAATATTTCACCAACCCTAAAGTAGCTCATTCACTAATGAAGCAGGCTACTAATCACTAGTGACTAATATCCCCAAACAGTCAAGACAGTGAGGGTAGGAAGGTACACCAAATATTATTATTTATGACAAGTATTAGATTTCTCCTGTTTTCTTCAGTCATAAAATTAAGGCCTTCTATCACCAAAAGAGGAACTTCTAACAGTGGCATGGGAAGGGAACAGTTGATGGAAAAAGACTTCATAAATGGAAGATCAAGTCAAGAGGGTTTGGAGCATGGAATGATGGACACAGACACAGCATGCGCTAGACAAAAGGTCATGCTCTGCTCAAAACACAGAGGTGACACTAAATTGTCGAGAAGACAGAGAGACAAAAGAGAGGGAGAGGGACTTATTCCTGGATACTCCACACACACTCACCATCCTCGGTTGGAACGTAGATGTTTAAATAAAGACAATCCTCGTGTTGATCCTGTATGTACGTGGTAACTATATCCAGATTGAAGGTGTACCATATGGGCATCATGATCTCTGGCACGGCATTGTGAATATTTTGGGGGCAGACCGGTGCAAAGTGGGTGGCGTTCTTGATCCCTGACCAGGAGGAAGGAGGCTCAGGAGGCATGAAGCGTTTCTCTCCCACTGGAGGGGCAGCATAGGGAACTCCTAGGTACTGATCCACCGGCCCCAGGAACTCGTTGGGCAGTGGCACCCTCACCCCTCGTAGTTTCCCATACTGTGTGTTCACAGTCGGGTGGTAGCTCTGTCCTCTCAACGCTCCAAAGGACCAGCAAAAACTCAAAACCCACAAGGACAAGCCGAAGGTGGTGCAACTGAGGCCACTGCTCCAGTTCTGAGAGGGGAGATGACTTCTCCTTGGTGGAAACCACATGGTCCTTGTGAGCGAGCACAACTGCAAGTGACCAACATACAAGCGGGGGCAGCCCCTCAGCAAAAACAAAAAACAAAACACAGGCTTCCCCACTCAGCCCTAAAGTCCAGGAAAAGTCATCAGCTGAGATACCCGAGCCTCCGAGCCTACAGTCCAGGAAAAGCAGGGATGCACTTCCTCTCTGTGTCAACGTCCTTGTCCCGTTCGTTAGATCTTCTAACGATTGCTGCAACAGAGATAACAGGAAATTTAAAATTATCGTAATTACACATTTACAGCTAACTTTGTGTTGAGTCTTCACATGTACAGATTGTTTATTGACGTGAAACTTAATTTCATAAACGGTGACAGAGCTCTGAATCCTGCATAAATTACTAAAAATCATTAGATGTTTCAGACAGGCCCGTTCATTTAAAATGAATAATAATGGATAATAATCCAAACAGGTCAACTGGAATACGATAGAGAAAAGCAGTAAGTGGATAATTATCCCCTGGGGAAAAAAACAAATACTGAAATTAAATTAATTGCAAATGACTAGTAATTTTCATATAAATATTAGCTCCAAACAAGTATTAGGAGACAACACAAAAGAATCAGTGTCTGAATCAGACCTACTTTAGTTTTTAAATTGTGGTTTAATATAAAATGGAATATATTAATTCAATTTTAGTCACTGTCATCACCATCTCGATGGTGTACCGCTTGTAGTGTGTGTCACATAACATGTTGACACAAAATAGCATGTGTAACCACTAGGTATGAGAACAACGATGAAGTAGATGGTTGAATTTCTAGAGTTCACATCCTTCTATGTATGTGGCTCAAATATTAAAGCTGATTAATTGCATAAATTATGGGTGTAATTTTGACATTCCTAATGAAACAAGAAACACTAGTTAAAACCACCAACATCAGCAGGTGGCTGGTTCTGTTTCACACTGAACAGAGGGGTGTTGTATCCCCTCCACCCCTCACTGCACTGTAAATAAATACTACCCTGGTGTGAACTCCGGCTGCAAGTGAGAGCACTTTTCCACACAGCCTGATCAATTTTCAATTTTTGTGGCCAGGTCCCCATCTGCCTGGTGTTCCTGCAGCAGAGTTTGCTCTAATAGCAAAGGAAAACGAAAAGGCCAGCATTTAGACAAGGATACTGTGCTCCAAAATAACTGGGCAGTGGTGTAAAGGTACCACCAACCAATCAAAGGGAAACGTCCTGATGTCCTTGTAGCTTCTGTAATCACCGGGGCAGTTATACACCTCTAATACACCACTTCATCCTGGACAAATCATGTGTAAACAGAAACGAGTGGTGGAGAATTCTAGAAAAGCATGTGATTCTGCTTAAAAAAAAAACCCATCCAGTTCTAATCTGAGGACAAAATGCAAATATGGCTTGGGGCGAATGTATCATAATGCTGCAAAAGTCACCCTCGTGGAATTCTGTCCTCGCTCACTGGACAGTAACCACACTGTCAAACACAGCACATTATTATGGAGTTCATGTTGTTGTGTTATTTACAGGAAGTTTTCTGTTTCTAAAAATAAACCATAGAACCAAACCAAGAGAATGTCAATCATTCTTATTCACTCACAGGAAGAATTTTACAATTTGCACTGACACGGCCCTCTGCCTGCATTTTTCTTTTTTTGTCTTTCATATCTTTTTGCCAGTATTTATGTGGGTTAAAGGACTGTGGGAGAAGGACTATGAATTTACGGAAGACATTCAGTGGTGCGGACAGTCACGAATGGCCTGTCTTTCCTGAAGTTCATACCTGTCTCCGTTGAGAAATCACTTGTCTCCAAACATGTACCAGTTGTCCAAATGGAAACAATGCAGCACAACATTGGTTTAAAAAGAAAGAACTGCAGTACTCAGTACACCACTCAACCCTTCTTTAAATGTTTTTATTCTATTATTACATTACAACCACAGCACATGTGAATCTATTGAACCTTCATAAACCTTGAAATGACTGAATGAATGCATTCAGCTGAACAATACAACCACCCACAGATTTTTTTTTCTTCATAAAAACGAAGGCAAGGTGATCTAGCGTATTAGAACAAAAATTTAATTAATTTAAAGCATTAAAAGAATTTTTAAAAAGTACTTTACTTTCTAATGCTTATTTGAGATGATGCACTTTTTTTACAGCTTTTTTTTTTCAATTTTAATATTATAAATGTTTGAAAAGTCCAAAAGAATTGGGATTAGGTGAATTGTTTACATTAAATGGCCAAGTGTGAGTGTGAACTGTTTGGCCCTAACCCTGTAATGACTCGAATGGCCAAGTGTGAGTGAATGTGAGTGTGAACTGTTGTCTGTTTGGCCCTAACCCTGTAATGACTCCATCCTCTTCCCAGTGAAAATGATTAAGCAGTAAAGATAGATATAACAACTCATTACTTAATCGATATTGTGTTCTTTTAAAGTCGGATATTTCACTTTCAGAATGTGTCATAAAATCTAGGCATGGATTGTCGATCACAATAATTCTACGACCTAAAAAAAAACACCTGACCCACGTTTTTCAAAACCGTTGCCAAACAATAACCCGTTGATGAATCTTCTGATTAATACCGTTGCTATTTTAACTCGGGCAATTTGCACACCATGCGGCAAACACAAGGCAGCGGGATAAACGTGATAACACGCATTCCACTGGAAATAAAATATGCCGGGTCTAACTTTTTAATCAGGACGTAGCAAGGACAAAAGACAACGTGATGGAGTGTGTGTGTTTAGAGGATACGCAGCACAGAGGACTTCATCAGTCTCCTCTCCAACACCATCGCCGAGGTCCACTCCACGTTGATCTGCGTACACACTGAAGCGCTGCCAAGAGAGGAGCACAGAAGGAGAGACCACGAAAAAGAGAGAGAGAGAGAAGGGGGAGGAAAAAAAATTGCAGGAGTCCTCCCTCATCATCGCAGAAATATTGATCGTCTCATCACTGTGGCCTTGCAGGCCGTAATAAATACAACTGGGATGATGGAGGCGGGCTGGGACGGGGGAGGGAGGTGGTGGTGGCCAAGTGCACACTGTAGTACACCCTCCTCCTCCTCCCCAATTCTCTGCTGCTTGATTAATAGGACATGTTATATTGTGAAGGTCCGTTCCCTTTCATTATTTAAAAGTGCCCTCATGGTACCGTGCAACATGATAGTTGTGCCTCAGCAGATCCTGTATTTGGTAGAAAAAACACGGCCCTTTTTTCCCCCCTCTTCAGTTCAGTCCGTGCCCACAGCTACTCTCATTCGCAGTGGAAGAAGCTTTGTTCTTCTAAAGAGAGCCGAGAGATGTGCAATGAAATAAGAGTCTGAACGCAGAGCCAAAAGCACTCCTACGCCATGACATCCCTTAGAGATTGGCTGAATGAACTTGGATTAGAGAGTAACCAATGAGAGTTTGGAGTAGATGGAGACCCTGCCCCCCCCCCCTCCCTCCATCCTACTTGGTTATTGTAGTAACTGGGCTGCAACAAAGGCATTCACAAAGCTGCATTAGCCGCCGCCGATGTCTACCTTCAAACAAAGTGAGCCACCCTGACCTTAGCCGGTGTAATCACTGATTACAAACGCTTTCACCGCTGTTGCACTAGAACAAGGATGGAAAGTGCTACTGCAGAAATAAAAGGATATGGGAACAAAGATGGGAACTTAAAGACGGAACCTTTGTCCGTGGGTTGTTGCCCCAACTGAACTCATTTAAATGGGAGGCTCAGATGTGAGGCATCGAGTTACAGGTTTCGGCATCTTTTAATTGTGCTGTGATTTAAGGATAAGATTTCCTTGTAATAGATTTACAACCTGTGACTAATGGGGAAAAAACAGTAGGTACGTGTGTAAAGTGTTTATATTGATCAATTACAATCACAGACAATATAATTCTTTTTTAAAAAACAGCAGAACACTCGTGTTGCTGGAAATATGCAAAAAAATATGCAGAATCATACTGCCCAATCAATTCACACACCTGATCTGTGCAGCAACGACAATGACTATAAGCTGTGGCTTTTTCTTTATGTCTAATGCAATTTGATGTGAAAATGATTCATTTAAATGAATTAATTATATATAAAAGAATATTTATTAATACGATCTCAAGATTTTAATTAGGTCTCAAAAAACACTGGTGTACTATCTAAATAGATAGTTGTTCTTTACTGAATTTCCATATTTTTTAGGCTCAATAAAGTCTACACACGTGTGTTTACTCCTGCAGGAGGGAACATGGATTTCAACAAAGGGTAAAATTAATGATGAACACATTCACACTGAACACATCTCTCCTCACAGTCGCATCCCTTCCACTCTAGGGCCTTGTGAACAACAGCAGGCTGTAGAAAAAAATCAAGGCGATTGGCATGTTTCAGAAACAACGTTTACAAATTGTCAAAACCAAAGTGCTGCTTCGAAGGACTCCTGCTGGGAGCTGTCGCCGCTGTAATCTCGAGGAGTGAGGAACCGCACCTTTTCTTCGGCTTCAGAGACTTCGCAGTCATTATTACTTAGCAGATACGGCATTTATTCAAGGACAAAAACACAGCAGATTCTGACTGCCAATCGTTGCAGTGACAGCAACGTAGATTTAGTGGGAAAAAAAGAAAGAAAAAAAAAAGGATGTGGAGGAACAGTGCAGGCACAGCTGTTGTGGCTCTTCCCCAAACTGTGTCTCCTCCCCTTCTTCTGCCTTCTAGAGAAAGGCTTCCAAGAGTATCATTACCAGACAGGCAGTCAGTGAAACAAGGTGAGGTAGAAGCGGCGGGACAAATAAAGACAGATTCCAGGTGAACACTTGAGATGAGTTCTGTGACTGCACAACAAATAAATAATAGCCTTTCTGCTAAGTGCTGATGGTGCTTGAAACAACTGTTTGCTCTGGTGACTTAAGATATAAGGACGGGTCTTAAATCTGCAAGACGAGGCAGCTACGGTTTCCTTTGCCAAAGGCACTTTTCTATTTTTATGTTTAAATAGCATGTTTTGTAATAATGAGCTCACCAGAGCGGCACTCTATTATCCTCTGTTGTCCTCCATCCACTAAAAGGCACTCTATTCTATTTTATTCTATGCTATTCTACCTCATGATACCTCCTGATTTGATCACGATGATGAGGCCACAATTATGATCAAAACATTTATGAAACGATTATGATTAATACTAATACCAGGAGCTCACATACTGTTAAAAATTCTGAACAAGGAAAAAAAAAA